AGAACAGAGTTCAAAATATAGCTATGAATATCTATGGGAATTTAGTATATGATAAAGTTGGTATGTGAAAAGGAGAAAACTTCAGGTTTGAGGAAAAACGCACTCCTGTGTGTCTACACACAACACTACACTCGCAGAACACTTCTATTCACCAGGGGTGTTGGAGATTTTCCCACACCAAGCAAATCTGCCACACCCACAAGAGTCAGTTCTACTTGGAGATAGGGTCGGATGCCTCAGGTTAAGAGTTCAGTCCCACAAGACTGCTCACGCCCTTCAGATGCCAATCACAAGTTCAGGCTGTTATCTGTGCTTCTGACCAACAGGCTATAAATTGGAGGTTTCCACGACCACCTCTTTAAGTTAAATTAATTTGCTAGAGCAGTTCTCAGAATGCAGGAAAAACAGTTTATTTACTAGATTGTTTTTTTGTTTTGTTTTGTTTTGTTTTTAAAAGGAACAGACTGATGGAAGAGACTCATAGTGTAAAATATGTGGGAACAGTTGCTGAGCTTTCGTGCTCTTTCTGGGTGTGCCACCCTCCCCATATCTCCAATTGTCCCCCAACCTGGAATCTCCCAGAACCCAGTCTCTTTGTTTTTTGTTTTTTGTTTTAGGTGAGGCAACCCTTGGTTGACCTCACAGATTGCAAGGACTTTGTCATTTTACAATCCCTTATTTTTTTTTTTTCTTTTTTACGCCTATAGCGCCTGATCTTCCTAGGTGGTCTCCCATCCAAGTACTAACCAGGCCCGACCCTGCTTAGCTTCCGAGATCAGATGCCTTTTGGGTTTTTATGGAGACTTTTGTAGGCACGATTGATTAAATCATTGGCTCTTGGTGATTGATTCAACCTCTAACCCCTCTTCCCTCTTCTCCTCTAATCACATGGTTGGTTCCCCTGGAAAACAGCCCTTCTCATTAGATTATCTAGGGGCTTTCTCAAAATCACCTCTTTTACATAAACTCAGGTGTGATTGAAAGGAGTTATGAGTAGCAAAAGATACCCATTTCACCTTTATCACTCTGAAGCTATTTCAGGAACTGGGAATAAAATATAACAGGAATCACTCTTATGGCTCCTTAAGGGTTTTAGGAGCTATGTGATAGGAACCCTTGATGAAGACCAAATATATATTTCTTATAACAAATCACAGTATCACAGTATGCCAAATCGATGTTTAAAAATAGATTATCCCATAAATACTTTTGCGATAACTGGCCGTACATAAGAGGAAATAATGTAACTAAATCACTGCTATATTGCTTATATCAAACAAATTCTAGATTGATTATAGAGCCATTAAAGAAGATGAAGATCACTGGAGAAAAAGGGAATTAAGTATTTTTTAATTTTGGAGTAAGAAAGTACGAAAAGAAACCTAGAAGTCCCAAAGCAAATTATTGATAAATTTGGTTACTTAAGAATACAATTTAGCTTTAAGAATATAGTCAGAAAGCAAATGACAAATTGGAGGTAATGATTTGCAACATGTCTGACAAGGGGATTGTGTCTATAATTTAAAAAGGACTGTTATAAATCACTAAGAAAAATATGGTGAGTGTAATATAAAAATGGGCACATGATGTGAAAAGTCAGTTCAGAGAAAAGGAAGTACAGGTGGTTAGTAAACTTATGAAAAGATGCTTAATCTTAATTAAAATTAAAGAAATGAACATTAAAATGATAATGTTTACCATTGGAAAGCTGTTGGGAAATAGATAACATACACTGGCAGGATTCTGGAGAGCAATTTGGTAACAATTGTTTGAAAACAGTTGTACATACTTTTTACCCATGAAATATATTTCTAGTTTATTAAATAGGTATAATTGAATGTACATGCAAAGATGTACAAGTACACATACAAATATGTGTATTGTACTATTGTCACTAATAAAAATGCAAATAACCTATAAATCTTAGCAGTAGGGAACTGGCTAATTAATGGTACATCTAAATAATGGAGTATTATGCAACTAATGAAATGTAATGTGGAAAAATGTCAGAGATATACTATGAATGGAAAAGTAAGTTGCACAGCAGTATGTGTACTATGATCCTATTTGATTTAAAAATTTTGTCTTTATATACAAAATATGTTATACTTAAAAATTTTATATATTTAAAATTTATATATATCAATTTCTGTAATTATAAGACAAATGAATAAAACTTACCTGTGAGTATTGAATTACATTCTATTTTTCTCTATTTGATTTTTTTTACCACGAACATAATATAAACTCAAAGAATTTAATATACTATTGAATATTTAATAATTAAAAATAACTTTATAATGTGTTATATAAAATTGGTGCTTTATAAATACTTTTACTGGTGGCCATTGGTAATAATAAATTCTATTTTGACTCTTATTTTTTTCAATAGCTAAAACTTGGTGTTTCTTTTTCTGTAGATACAAACCTTACATTGTGCTGAGTCTGTGCTTTAATAATATCCAGAAATCTCCATCTGGGCTTCTTTGCTCAATTGGTCCTCCTACTGTTTCCAAACACACTAACAAAGTGCATGTATATCTTCTGTAGAAAAGTGTTTTTGTTTGTTACTTGGCTCATTTATTTACCATTTTTCAAAATCTAATTAAGTTTTTAAAAATAGATAATAGGTCACATGACACAAAATTTCTAAGACACAAAGGATTATACAGTGAAAATGAAATCTCTCTCTTCCCAACCCTTGGCCACTCAGATTCTCTTTCTAGAGGCAGCCATAGTTATTACTATCTTGTGATTCTGTGTAGAGAGCCTCTCCATATTTACAAATGTGCGCATGCGAAGGCACACATGCACACACTTTATATGAATGGTAGCATACTAAACATACTGTTCTCCCTTCTTCCCTCCCCCCAATATTAACTTGTTTAATATTACAGCATTGAAAAGCATGTTACTAATGGTATGCTAATGCAGAAAACTTCAAGTCCAATTTTGTTTGTTTTTGTTTCTTTTTGCATCCCAGCTCAGAGGGCTTTCAGTCACACCATCAATCATTTATTTTATAGAACACACTTCTTCCACCCCCTCTCTTGTTTTTAACTCAGCAGTAGTGCTTAGAGATCTTTCCATATTAATACATGAAGAAGAGCTTCCTTCTATTTAAATTTGTATGAATGAATCCTAATTAAACAGCCTTCTTTTGATAGTATGTACTATAATTTAACTATTTAACTCTTATTTTAGGTACTTGATATTATCTAAGTGCTGGGAATACACTGGTGAGGACAAAAAATATATATACTTTCGTCATGGAGCTTAAATTCTATGAGATAGACATTAAAAAAAGACCTACTGAAATAATTGTAGAATCATATTTGTGATGAGAAGAATCTAGTAGAGGAAATTGATGTAGTATGGGTGGTGAAGGGTAGCTTTTCTGAAGTGATAATTGAACTGACATCTAAAGAAAGAATTATTACCTATTTTAATGGAATGATTCTGTCTTATAGTATCTATTCTCCCATTTCTCCTGGATCTATAAGCACTCTTTCACTAATGCCTTTATTTCTTCAGCTTTTAAACATGCTCAAGTTTCTCACTTATTTAAAAAAGACAACAAAAACTTCTTCAACCCGCTCTCCTTTCTAGCTACTGCCCTTATCTCTGCTTCCTTCTTTACCCAGAAAGTGTCATCTAAACTTCCTGTTCCCATGACTTATCTCTTACTCAATTAAGACAAAATATTCAGGTTTACTCCTCCTCAGACTGTTCCAGTGTGGACTGTAACAAATTTCTTCAAGATCACTAATGACTTCCATGCACCATGAACACTTTTTAGTGTCCATTTTGCCTGAATATTCTGTGACATTGCATATAATTGACAACTGTCCTTGAAATGTTCTCTTATCTTGGTTTCCATGACACTATACTCTTTTTTATTTTTCTTTTTAAAAAATCTTTACTGGCTTTTTCTTTTCTATTAAATTCTGGAATTTCTTAAGGCTTTGTCCTAGGCTCTTTTCCCTTCAAACAGTCTCAAGGCAAGCTTCACATGGTGTCTGTAGATGATTCCTCTACCTATACTTCACCTTTCTTCTGAGCTTTACACCATTATGTCTAGATGCTTCCCATATTTTCCTACTTTACTTATTCTTTGTTAGTTTAAATATATTTATTTAGGGCCTGTTATTTGCCAGGCATTGTGCTCATGCTAGGAGTGTCTTAAAGATATCTCCAATGTAATATGGTCAAAATAGAATTAATGATACATATTTCTGCTAAAAGCAAGTAAATAAACAAAAACAGCCAAAATAAGACATTTTCCACCTCCATTGTTCTCAATTACTGAAACTGGGCCAATTCATCTACCCTGAAACCTTGAGATCAGTCTTGACTCCTCCTTTTATCTGACCACTTCTCCAGCCTAATCCAGTTTAATCCAGTCCAGTCTGATCTACTTTTGTCTAATCCAATCATTCTCATCTAACTCAGTACAGTGTTACCAAGGCTATTCCACCAAGTATCCTTCCAGTATGTATAGTACCACTTTTTTTCACACTAAGTCCCTAGCCCTAGCCTAAGCTACCATCACCATTTGAATAGACTGTTGCAGTTCCTTCTAATTGGTCTTACTGCATTCATTTTGACCACCATCTGCCAATTCGCCACATGACTGCCAGCATGATCTTTTAAAGTGTTCCTTAATTCTTCTGTGTCTCAGTTTTCTTATCTGTAAAATTGGGATAATAATAGCCCTTCCCTCATAGGGTTGTTATGAGAATAAGAGAATTACAATGTATAAAGTACTTAGAATAGTGCCAGGCCCTAAGGCCTCAGTAAATTGTTATTGACATCTTATACAGTGTTACATTAAGCCAAGTAAAAGGTATCATTAAGACAGAAAGAAGTCTATTAATAATCGACATGAATGGAGTCATTATTATCTCGTTCATACTTAATTGTGCTATACATATTCACAAAAAAAATCTGCAGCTCTGATGCATGACCTTATCATGTGTAATTTTTTTCTTAATTAAAAGGCTAAGAAGCACCAGGCCTTTCTAGTAGAGACATGTGAAAATAACGTGAAAGAATTGGAATCGATCTTGGACAGCTTTACTGTGTCGGGCCAGTGGACATCAGGTTAGTTGAAGGTATAAAATGACAGATGCATCTGTCAATGTTCCAAAGTCACTACATTTTGGGAATTCTGCAGATGCCTCGTATAGTCCCTTATCTCAACATGTTTTGATTTGATGACATGATAAGAGCAGTCCTCACAGCAGTCAGTTGGCCTAGCTGGCTGAGAAAGGGTGATGGAATGTAGACCTGCTGTTGTCCTCTCAGAACTTGATTTACAAGTGTCAGAGTCTGTATGATTGGACAGACAAGGGCTCACTTGCTGTGTTCTGAACCCAACTGAGAAAAAAGTCCTTACAGTATACCTGCAAGGGGAGCAGATGTTTCCATCAAACTGAGCCAAATTCTGAGGCAACCTTCAGCAACTTAAAGGTCATGCATTCAAAAGGTTATGTAGGACACAAGCTGTAACAGTGCAGATTCTACTCTGTTGCTTTCTAAGCTGGTTTTCTTCTTCATTTTTTATTGCCATATATATTCTCTTCAGATAAAAATGGTTAGGTAAAATGTTTTGGTTTTAGTATTAGCATACTTAATGTGATAAAGAACTATAAGAATTGTATATTAGGTAGTTATATTTTGGGAACTGGCAAAAGCATTAGTTGGTTAATGAATGCTGTTGATGATTTCTGCTTTCTTAATTTTTTTTGCTTATGCCATTAGTAACTTCGATTAAAATACTTTTACTTTTCTGCTTCAGTTTTCTTTTGCCATACTGTCAGTCTCGAATTATTTATTTTCTGACTCAATTATGTTCTTCAGAAAGCATGTAAAATTATATTCCTTACACTTTAAAAGGAATTGAGGTACCCGACTCTGTTTTTTTAAAGGAATCAAATAGATATTCAGCAAATGAGTTCTTTAGGAAACTTAAGTTCAGGAAAGTTTGTTGTCCTAGAAAAAGCAGAAGGATATAATCAAGACTCATTTTTACCTGATGAACCTGCAGATTTCTATTGGTGGACTATCAGAAATTCAGTGTGCTTTGCTATTATCTATTTTTTGGGTCTGCTTTTATCCTTCATGCTTTTTTAGCAGTAATTTTATGAAATTAACGTGTGACTCTCTTTGTTTTTATTTAAACTTTTCCCCAAAACATTAGTGTTTCATGGTTTGTTACTGTGGGAAGGTATATAAAAGTGACATAAAAAATAATAGATATCCAGTTTTCAATTTATTTGGTAAAGCTTTGGAAGATAAAATTTTCTTTTGCATTAGTACAGTTTTATTATTAGATGTGTCATTGTTTAATGGTGTTAGGATCTTAAAAATTTATAAAATTATTATAACATATCTTAAACCTCAACATTATTTAAAATATTTCTTCAGAGTTGAATTAGAAAAGCTAAGAATAATGAGGTCATGTCTCTTTTGGGTTTTAAAATAAAATCGTTGATAACAAAGCAGCTCACAAGCTATTATTAAGCCTACAGAAAAATAATTATCTTCTATTAAGGTTTTTATTCTTTTGTAAGCATTCTTTTTTAACTTCTTAGTTTCCCACTTATATACACACTGTATTTATTACAGAGAAGTGTTCCTGGAAAAGGGACTGTGTGCTGAATTCATGATTTTTGTTCTGTTAATAGAGTGGTCTTTGTTTCTATGTTGAGCTGGTTATTCACGCTTTTACCCACTAAGAACCATTCTTGTCTGGTCTGTTTTGCCTTGTAGAGGCTAACCTCTATCAACTACATGATCTGGGTGTCTTTGCCCTCTAGCTTCTGGTTGAATTTGGACAATGGGTGCCCGAGCAGATTAAGAGGAAGAAAGAAAAGAAAAGAAAATCAGGTTATTTATTTCCCCTCTGGTCCAGTGCATTTCTGGCAGTGGCTTCATTTGTCAGTAGCTATAGCTCCTGTCAGGCAGGTCCTCTTCCACAGCTGTGGATTGTTTGGACTATGGTGACAACGTTCCTTCCTCTCGATCCTTTAGACTTAGACATGGTATTGATTTTCTACTCTTGCTAGTTCTTGGTGCCTCATCATATTTTATTAATTCTCTTAACCTGTCCACATTTCTGTAAATAATCTCTTCATTAAATTCTCTTCTGATGAACTTAGATCCGAGTGTGCCATCTCTTTTCCTGCTGTTACCCTAATTCACATACCCGCTTGCAACCTGATTTCATCCTTGTTCTTGACTTCTATGAAAGGGCCCTGTGTAATTGTAATGGACTCCTTTCTGCTTACATAAGCTCAGGTTGTGTGTTTTTTTTTTTTTTTTTTTTACTTTACCAAGAAGGACATAAACAAAAAAACTTTATTGCTCAATATTTTATAGAAGAACGTGAATGAACAATTAAGATTGCCTACCGCAGTAGGCCTGGTTTCAGCTACACAAAGATGACCAAATATTTTGTTCCTCCCAAAGGAAGTAACTTAAAAACTTATTGTAGGCTAATTCAAAGATATATGTGTATATGCACATGTATATATCTCACAGAATACACACACACACACACACACACACACATATTATATATATATATATTTTTATTTTCTCAAATATATATATATATATTTGAGAAAAAGTCTATTTCAAATAAGGACATATTCTTACTGTGTGATAACAGCACAGCCTTAGAATTTGTGACTAAATTAATTCAGTTATATTGAGAAGGGTTTTCCAGAGAGATCTTCTGTTTTGCAGTTATAGCAAGTAGGCAATAGTACTTTACTCCCTTCTATTACCTCTTTATACTTTTTTCCGTTCATTATATACTCTGCCCCCATTGTCCCCATTTCAGGAAAACTAATCCATGGTAGAAATTTAGGGAGATGGTTACAGAACTTTTTCTTCCTTTCCTTCTTCTCTCCCTTCCTTTCCTTCTTTTCTCCTTCCCTTCCTTCCTTTCTTTCTTTCTTCCTTCTTTCCTTTCTCCCTCCCTCCCTCCCTTCCCTGCCCTTCCCTTCCTCCCTCCCTCCTTCTCTCTTTTTCTCTCTTTTTTATTTGACTTGCTCTTTAAAATGGAATGAGTGAAAATTATTTTCTGAATTATATGTCCAGAGTTCACAGTAGTTGCCAGGTGTTCTGTTCTCTGTCTTCTTCAGATTTGGTGGTTCTCTGCATTAAGAGATCTTTCTGAAGTAAGAGTAACCCATCAGCTTATCTTCATTTAGCAAGCAGGTAAAGCAAAGCTTCAGTTAGTCCAAGACATTAAGGAATTTATTTACATAGACGATTTAACTTGATCTCACCAGTGATCAGTATGATAGTTTACATCTTCTTTCCTAATGCCTTCAGCACCTCCTGTTCCTCTTACTAACTAGTCTCTTTGCTTCCACCTTGCTCTCCTTTAGTCTGTTTTCTCTATAGCTACCAGAATGATCATTTGAAAACCTAAGTTAGAGCATGTCACTCCTTTGCTCTAAACCTTGGTGGGTTCTGCATTTCACTAAGAGTAGAAGCCAAAGTGCCAGCAATGGTGTGCAAGACCCTATAAGTCTGCCCTTATCCTTTTTCACCACTTTGATCTCACCTCCTGCTACTATCTGTCTCCCTCCCTCTGTTTGGACCACTCTGGCCTCCTGTTTCTTGAACACACTAAGGTGCTCTTGTCGTGGGGGCCTTTGTGCTGGCCATTCCTTCTACCCGGAAAGTTCTTTACCTTGATATATCTGCATAGCTCTCTTCCTTATCTTTCTTAAATCTATGCTTAAATCTCACCTTTTCCATGTAGCTTACCCAGTACCTATTCCCATGCTACTTGCTTCACTTGCCTATCTTCCTTTTCTGCTCTACTCTCCCCACCCCCTCCCACAGCACTTATTGTGGCCTAACATGCTGTATTGGTACAGTTATTATTATGTCTGTATTGTCAGGGTTCTTCACAGAAACAAACCAAATTGAGTATATATAGGTACATATAAGGAGCGATTTATTATAGGAATCATCTCACATAGTTATTAAGGCTGATAAATCCCATGATCTGTCTTCTGCAAGCTGAAGAACCAGGAATGCTGGCGGTATAATTCAGTCTGAGTCCAAAGCCCTGAGAACCTGGGGGCCACTGGTGTAAGTCCTGGAGTCTGAGTGCCCAAGAACCAAGAGCTCTGATGTCCAAGGAAGAGAATTTGCTCTTCTTTCACACTTTTGTTCTATTGGGGTGGGGGTGTTAGGGGAGCAATGGATTGGATGATGCCTACCCACATTGATGAGGGCAAGTCTTCTTTACTTAGTCTACTGATTCAAATGCTAATCTCTTCCAAAATATCCTCATGAATCCAGAAATAATGTTTTATCAGCTGTGTTAATGTCCCTTAGCCCAGTTAAGTTGACACATAAAAATTAACTATCATAGGTTAATTTTTATAGATGAGGGCAAGAGTTTTGTCTCTTTTATTTACTAATGTTTTTTTCAGCTGCTAGAACAATTCTTGGCACAAAGCAGGCACTCAATAAATATTTGTCTAATATGAATAAATAAAAGCATGAATGAAATAATATCAGGTTGAAGGCCTACATTGCATTTACATTTAAATTTTTTAGATCATAAAGATGGACATGGAGTCTCTTTGAAAATTATAGCAGCGCTTTGGGTAGCAATCTTTAAGGAGTCACCAGGAAGATTAACCTTCAGTGGAAAGGATATACAGTCTTACATGGGTCACAGAAATGTCACCTTGAGTGACTACTACATTAGACAAGATCAACTTAATTTAGTTGCTCAGGGACATTTAGTTTCTATTTGTACTTTCCACTGAAATTGAAGTACTACAACTGCTCATGTATCATTTCTTTTCTGGTAGAAATTCTTAGAGTAAGTAGGGTGTATCTGGGAAGAAATCTTTCACTACTTTGAACCTATGTAGTCTTTCTGCCTCAAATGTTTCTTCAAATACAGTTTCACCTCTGCCTGAGAGTGCTAGCAAACATAGAAAGTGACTTTTTCTTCATTAGGTTCATGAAAGAAAGGTTTTCTTGTTGCTCAGTCTTAGATCTTCCTCAGGGTGGTTGACTTTTGTGTTGACTGAGACAGAACTCTTCAACCTTCCTTAACC